TGCAAAGCTGCTGCAATATTGGATCTGTGGCTGTGTGCTCTTCAACTCAACAAGCCTTGATGATGAGATGTGTTCTACAGACATTACCTCAAAATCAGCCTTTTCACTGCCTTGCACTTCCGTATTCTAACTCTGCAAACTGTGAAGCATCACATATCAGTGTGACAGGCTTTTGGACATCATAATATCACAGCGTTGGCAGGCTTGTGATGCACTCTTTCAGCTTGTTGAATGCGTCTTGATGATGTTTAAACCAGCACCATTCGACATCTTTGCGAGTAAACTCTCCTAAGGGTGCTAGGTCGCTGAAACTTGAATGAATCTTCCAAGATAGTTAAGCATCCCTAGAAAGCGTTGTAGGGCTGTTACGTTTTCTGAGACTTCCATCTCTGTGAGTGCCCTAATCTTTGAAAGGTCTGGTTTTAGTCCTTCACTCGTGAACACATGTCCCACATAGCATACTTCTGACAGCCAAAACTTATAATTGAGAGGGTTAAGTCTGAGGTTGATCTTTTGTGCACGATCCAGCACTTTCTTGTGATTTTCATAGTGTTCCTTCACATCCTTTCCTCCCACGAGGATGTCGTCCACTATAACAGCACATGGATAGCCTGCAAATATTTGCTCCATGGCCCTTTGGAACACCTCACCCGCTGTGTTGATTCCGAATGGCATGCATAGAAATCGGAATCTCCCAAATTGGGAGTTGAACATCGTCAGCATTGATGATTTTTCATCAAGAGAAATTTGCTTGAAGGAAGTTTTCGCATCCAAAACGGAAAAGACAGAGGAGTTTGGCATTTGAGATGTCACTTCTTCTACAGTCCGCATCGGGTGGTCTGGACGAAGGAGGGCCTTGTTAAGATCTCTTGGGTCAATGCATATACTTATCTCCTCTAAATTCTTTTTGTGTGTTGCCACCATTGATGATACCCATTCAGTGGGCTCCGAGACTGAAATAAGAACACACATACTGACCATTCTTTGTAATTCTGCATGGCTGCCGGGATTGTGTGTGCAGGTTTTACAACTGGGTGCACTGCTGGGCCAGTTTCATTGAATATGTTATTGGACGCTTACAAATCTCATCCTTGAAAAGGTCGGAATATTCGAAATAAATTTGGCTTGCAAAACTTGAAACGTTAAGATCAACTGAGTGTCAATTGATGTGCACAGTAAAGCAAAATATCTGTAGATTGACACTGTATCTCAGGCTCATTCTGTCTCTTTCCAGATGTGATGCATGAGAATTTTGTCATTAATGTCTTTTTATTTGCAGTTTTCAATGCAGTACCACTTTTGAAAGTTTTCTTCGCCACATCAAGACATCCTTTTATGGAGAAGACATAAATGTATTCAGTGTTTTTTTTTTGTTTTTTTTGCAGGGCAAGGAGGTTTGGACCCCAGTGTGGTGACCACGTCCATTCTAGAGGGAGTAAAGGATAGTATACAAGGAGTGAATCTTCCACATCTCAAAGCTATTCACATCATTCTGCAGAAGCTTAATGTTTTCCTGGTGTTCAAAGCAATGGCACAGCAAATCTGTGTTAATACACAGTTAACAAGTGAAGAAAAGTCTGTGACATGCAGAGACAAGCCTCCTTCTGAGGCTTCAAGGCTACAGTTCGGAGAGATATGCAGCCTTACTAGGACACATCTTTTCGATTGAGAAGCACCCACTTACAGTTAGTTTTGCACTTTCACGTTCACTTTTTTTTTTTTTAGCTCATGCACCACTTGTACCTACCAGTGCAACCACCAGATGGCACAGTGTAACCAGTAGTGGACACATGGGTTCAACTAGATGCAGACCGCATTCTTTACCAGGCTGACACACTCTCAGAAAAAAAGGTACAAAAGCTGTCACTGGGGCGGTACCTTTTCAAAAGGCACACCTTTGTACCTAAAGAGTCCATATTGTTACCTTAAAGGTATATATAAGTCCCTAAAGTGTGCATATTAGTACCTAAAATGTACAGAAGTGTACCTTTAGAAAAGGTACCGCCCCAGTGACAGCTTTTGTACCTTTTTTCTGAGAGTGCAGAGAACAAAGCAGCATTGCTAATTATTGGTCACACCAATAATGATGTTTCTGATGCGTGCAGAGAACTTCAGCAGGCATATGAGATATGACAGGCAGTGCTCCACACACTTTCTTTCCTGATGAGATTGAACGCCTCACTCAATTCACTGCATCTGCAGGTTGAACCAAGCAGTTCTGAAAAATAGGTAGTAAAATGACTGAAGAAAATACATTTGTGTGTGTGTGTGTGTGTGTGTGTGTGTGCAGGTTTATATATCCTGGTGGGGACTTAAACCTGACTACACACAGACTCATGGGGACTCGTGTCACGGTGAGGACCTAAATTGAGGTCCCCACGGGTAAATAAGCTAATAAATCACACAGAATGAAGTTTTTTGAAAATCTAAAAATGCAGAAAGTTTCCTGTGAGGGGTAGGTTTAGGTGTAGGGTTGGTGTAGGGCAATAGAATATACGGTTGTACAGTAGATGTGTGTGTGTGTGTGTGTGTGTGTGTGTGTGTGTGTATAGCTAACCAGACGTGTGTGTGTGTGTGTGTATAATGGAAATAGTTGCATAAATGTACAGTTTTAGCAAAGCCTAGTAGACATATTTTCTGCTCTCAAACTCTAAAGAAAGGGAGAACAGGCATTCCTCTTCACTCGAGTCATGTGTTGCATTCTGGGACCACGGGGCATTTGGCAGAAGGTAAAAGAAGTCATTCATAAACTTGAGACAGCAGATGTGAAAGATGGACTGAACTTGAGAAGGATGGAGGTCACAGTATGTGATTCAGGACAAGTGACCCCTCTCAAGCGATTGGAGAACCTTTCAGAAAAGTGACTTTAGTGCAACCTAGACCTGGAAGTTTATCACCCTGGTTTCCTCAAAAAGAAAACAAAAAAATAGGATTTTTCCATTGTCTTTTGGATTATTGCAGAAACTAATCTCTGTGACCAACAAAAATGTAGGATTTGAACATGTTTTGCTTGTCATGATAATCTTCACAAAAGTTAGGCTATAAAAGAACTATACCACTGTCACAAACTTAAACGTCTCCACCATTAAGCTTCTGACAACTTTCAGTCTTTATTTACAAAAACATTTGCAAGAGGGTTCATGTTTGAACCCTATTTTTTAGATTTAAACTATATATTTGTTTAATTTAAGTACAGCCTGTTAGTTGCAGTGGTTAGTCTACAACAACACACTGTTGGCAATTTTTAGGTTTTTAGAGTTTATAGTCTAGTTTTTATTTTGTGTGGCAATATGAAGAACAATGTGAATTTGAAGTCCATATTGGCAATTTGTGTGCAAATGTTTTACAACAGATCACGTCATTATACCTTCCTCAGCCACTGTCTACGGTCATGAGACGTACTTTACTGTAAATGGCAACCTCACTGCCAGTCCTACCTATGCGGTTCCTGCTGCAGTTATCACACTCATGGTCAGGCGGACATGAAGATGCCCCTTGATGATTTATAATTAATAATTGAAATAATTAAGATAACACATTTATTCAGTTCAAGTTAAAAACAGTGAATGCAATCATCGTACAGACAAAAGTGCACTAGTGCACAAAAGTGACAACTAGTGGCCAGTATATGAATGTTCTAATGGCCAATATAATTCAGAGTTTTACATAATTTAAATGATAACTGAAAATTTCTCAATTTAGTAAAACAGAAATATTACTTTTTTTATTATTATTATTGTTCAAAGTTATCAGTTGAAGTTGTCAGTGGATTGTGGAACTGATACACAAGTGAATTAATTCTTTCTTTTTTTTTAAGCGGTCATATTGCCTAGTTAATTGGCCAATTAATCTGTCTATTGCTTGCACAAATCACCAAAGTATGCAAGAAATACACTTATACTCTCAAAAATAAGTCTTCCAAAAGATGCTTTCCACAGTAATGCCATAGAAGAACCATGTTTGGTTCCCTAATAAACCTTTCAGTGAAAAGTTCTTAAAGAAACATTATTTTCTTAGTGTAAAACAATTTAATCATCTAAGGAAACTTTTTTGTTATAAAGAACTTTTTGTGGAATGTAAAGGTTCCATGGATGTTGAAGGTCCTCATGAAAGCATCACTGCCAATGAATAGCTTTTTGATGTTGTGTTGAGATGCATTTGCTTGATTTTCAATGTTGTGCCCATTAGTTGTTCCGCCTTCTCCAACCACCATGGTGCGAAAATAAACACGTGGCACTTTAACTTCCCTTTCAGCTTGGCCAAACTTGCAACCAACCCCCCACCCATGTTCTGTGCATTTGCTGTTCACTGTTTTTTCTTGCTGTTTCAAATCGCTGTATTATGACAAGCCTTCCAAGCAGTCCTTCATGGATTCTAACTTATTTACACTGTTAAAGAGTTGGATTCTCATGCTAAACATGGGCAAAGTTTAAAAGAACGAGTTAGACGTATGACGGAGTATTTCTGTGCCAAATACATTCCTTCAGAGTTCGTATAAGTTTCGGAAATTTTTTTTTTTTTTTTGAGTATGGCTCTGTATGACGTCATAAAGGGTGGAATTTCTTGTATGGGCAGTTGGGCACTTCTCCCGGGAAGAGCGCGCACACATCAACCAGAGGAAGAGCAAGAACACACCCAGCATCTGATAAAACTAAAGACTCCTCGGAGATATGAAGGATGCAATACTTCTCTCTAGGTACTCAAGATTAACATGAGATTGGCAGAAACTGTTATTTTATGTCCCCTTTAAACATCACCCAAGTCACTGTCTCCCTCACTTGCATCTTTCTTCATACTGTAATCTTCAGTTACCAAGTATCTCACCAAGTATGACACTCATGTCTTGAGCAAATGCTGGCATAGTAGAGAATTGCCACTCAGATTTTGTACTGTTATTTTAACATAATTTTAAATAATTCTATTTGTGCCACTTAAATAGTCTCACGGCATCAAGAGGAAAGCTGGAGGAGTGGCCATGGAAAGCAAAAGTGAAAGCATCGGAGCACCTATATATTTATGTCGAAGCTCAACAAAACAACAGATTAAAGATGGAGAACTACGAGTACGCTGTGTTTTTTGAGGCAGAGAATCTCTCTGATGCAGAACTAAGACAAATGGAAAAGTATTTTAAAATCAAGAGAAGGTCTGGAGGGGGAGAGTGTAAGATCAACAAAGTGGGTGACACCACTTACATGACAAGTTTTATGGAAAAAGAAGGTAAGGATGTTTTATTTATTTATTTTGCACCGTTATAATCAATGCCATTTTTTATCTTAATTAAGCTTTTCATTAAGCAGAACAAATTTAATATTTGATTTATAATGACAACACTTTATACTCATCAATATGTATTTGTATTCAAAGCCCAGGAAAGAGTACTAGAACGAAAGGATCACGTCATTAAAACAGAAGGACAAGAGGAGATCCATGTTTTATTGAGGTGTGAAAATGTTGCTGAAAGCAGCAAACAATCTAAAGAATCTCCAAATCAGGTAAGTGGCACAAAACAAACAGCTATTTTGCTTCTATTTATATATGTGCTGTACCTTGTTTCCTGCTTGTACAAGATAGTCGAACCAATTTTTCCAGAAGCAAAGAGAGAAACTCTCTGCGTAGTTAAAGTAAATACCTTGAATACAGTAGTTCTCTGAAATTACCTGCTAGGGCTTGACAATAAGGAAGGTCTGGGAAAAGGCTGGGCAACAAATTATATCATATCAAGATTGCAATAAAATTTGTCAATAACAACTGTGGCCGGTGCCTTTTAGTACACCCAGCTATGTACAGATGTATAACTGAACTATCAGTAACTGGAATAATATGAAGGCATGCAACAAGCATGCCAACAAGCAATAATAAAGATATTACCCTAATTTATATCCTAATTAAAGGACAAAGGTGGGTGCTGGTGTGTAGAAACACATAACTTTATTTCTTGTTACGCATCCGTATACATATATAAATACTAATAATTTCACTCCAAGCAAGACAGATTAAAAGGACATAAAGAAATGCACACAGGCAAGGCAAGTTGTAAACCCTATAAATACTAAAAAAAAAACAATGCACACAATACTCCCCTTTACACAAGCAAGTAATCATACCATAAATTTATCAATCACCTTAATGTGATACACTGCAATCAGAACAGTTCTGTGATAATCTTTAAGGGAATTATTGCACGTTGCACAATACTATTGCATTAAAAGGGACCCTGGAGTATAAATATAGTTATTAACATCAATGAACAGACAAAACAATATGAAATAAAAAAAATACAATTTGAAAATTCACAAGAAAATAAAATACAATACCAAGGAAAACAAATTACAAAGAATATGTGACCCTGGACCACAAAACCAGTCATAAGGGTCAATTTTTCGAAATTGAGATTCATACATCATCTGAAAGCTGAATAAATA